ACTACCCTGAGGTTCCTGATCAGCCTCCAAGTGGCTCCAAAAGAGAGTCTTCTAACTTGGAGCCTGCAATGACCACTGACTGATTTGTCAAGATTTGCCTCTATGTACTTCAGGAAGGAATAAAGCTCCTATAAATTCCCTTTTTTTTTGTTGTTTTCATTTTAATAGTGCATTGAATGTGCAGTTTATACCATTTAAAAAATTAAATATGGCACCTCTTAATGCCAATTAACCTTTTACAACATTGTAAGAGATGGAGGCAGGGAAACTTTCTGATTTTTTCTTTTATTTGTGTAGTTTTGTACACAAATTTCGCAAGACAGATGCGTTTGCTGCTTTGAATGACAGGATGCTTGTCCTCTGATAGGCTCTCCCCAAGAGGGCAGAGCAGTTGCTAACTCAAAAGCATTATGCATGTGGACACCTAGTACAAGCAAAAAAGAAGATAGATTCTGTCATCATTGCTCAACTCAAACAAGAGAGCCCATTGGACTCTTAACAAACAACAGCTATTAAAATTTGGGGGTTTCTTTTTGGGTTTTTTGAGGTTTTTTTTTGTTTGCCTTTTTTTTAAAAAAAAGTTCTTTCTCCCCAGTTGATTTTTCTAAGTTCAACTTGAAACTAACTGCTGTATACAACATAATTGCCTAGTATGAGTTAGATGGTTAGTTAGCAATTTTAATAATCCCATGAACAACCTGAGGTGTAAGTCAGCAAAGATCACATGAGCCACAACTGCTAGTAGCAAGAGCAGAATTCAGTTCCCACAAGGAAAGATACCACATTTTAGATCTTCTGACCTACTATCTGTGGCTCAATTAATAATGATTTCATAGATCATCATAATCCTCTTACATTCCTAAATGAAGCATCTGATGCTATGTGAAACACCTGTCATAATATACTTCTCTTCAGGGAAAAAAAAAAAAAATTCAAAACCAGCAGTGACCGAGTGAAACACACATACCTTTCAGTGTTTTTTCCTAAATAGCACACACTAATAAAAAACAGATACTAAAGTAAAATGCCAGAATATCAGAATGTATTTGTCTTCATTTCTTTTAGCTCTGAAGAGCATGGTCTTACACTGCTGCTATTAGATCTCACCAATCTATAATTAGCCATAATACGAAATAGACAAGAACTTGTGAAAGAAACAGGACAGAATTCCATTAACTAATAATGTTTATTATTTTCATCTGTATCAGCCACAATCTAGATAATACAAACAGAAGATGATAAAAACAGGGAGATTCCTGGGGTGGGAATTGGGTGGATAATACTAGGAAAGGAGGAGCTAGGCAAAATTTATGCTTTTCCTCAGTATACAATGTGCAGACACTTGTTTCTTAAACACATAGGTTTTGCACTTATCCCATCTATGTAATGTTCTATGTTACCTATAAGGTTTGAAACATGTGAAAATCATGCATCTATTTTGTACAAAACTCTCACTGGGCATGACAAATGACTGACCTCCTTTATATTCATTCACTGTCAATTTAAAGTGTTTAATCTTTGTGCAAAATATTAACTGCAAAGGGGGCTGAGAGTAACTGTGCACAGGGTGATATGTCTAAAAGAGTGAATGGCAAAGTGTTGTCAAGTCTTGGCTATTTCAGACTCAGGAAGGCACAGTTGTTAGTAAGATGGGGAGACCAACATCCTCTCCTTAGAATAAGTTACATCAAACCTTCATTACTATGACTTTTTAGGATTAATGACTCCTGTCATTCATCATTTTATTTTTGCTTTAAAGATGCCACTTTCTACATAACTTTTCATTTGCACAAAAAGAATTACAGCTTGGCTGAATCTCATGCAACTGGAGCTAATATCCATGTTCTACAATCAATTAGTATGGACCTATGAAATACTATGGGCCTTGCGGTGCTGTAGATCACATGCTGCCACATGCATTTCAAATCACAGGAAGAGACAACACTGGCAATTGTTGCTAGCTGATTTTTTTTTTTCATGAGAAAAGATAGTAAAGCTGGAGAGCACTATTTCCCAAACCCAACTTGCTGGCAAATGTCTGAAAATCTGAAAAAGCTTTTTATAGCATGGTTCTTTTGATGTTCAGAGGGGGTTTTTTTTAAAAAAAAAGTTGTAGATGATTTAAGGAACAAGCCAATCTGCTCATTCAAGAAACTCAGGGGAATAAACTTACAACCCATGCACAAAATGTTTGAATCTAAACTGGGCACGTTACATCTGAAAGTAGCTATGTAGATAAATCTAGGTAACTTGCAACAACACGGAAAGATTAGCTAAAATACATTATATGGCCACAAAAAGACACATAGATTTTTTGTCAAAGAACACTTCAATGGAGGAATTAAACATTTGTAATTAAAAAATGAGAAATCATAAAAATTAGAAATCAGACAGGAATTAAAAGAAAACAAGAAAACCAAAAATATCACGGGATTAAAATAAATGTGAAGAACACCATCATATTCCTGTTTGAGTGTGTCACTAAGCTTAACTAATGTTAATATTCATGTATTTTGTGTAATGGCTTATAAGTCTAGGTGAATTGTATAAAGAGAGCATCTAAAAAGGCATAGATTACAGGAAATTTAAATAAAACAATGCTGTTATTAGAGCTCAGGTTGGCAAAAAAAAGCAAAAAAAAAAATGTGGTGCTTAGTTACTGAACAGAGACCTTCAATTCTAGTATTGCCTAAAAAAAACCAAAGTTCATAAAGCTATCAACTCAGTTCCAAATACTTGCTACTGGAAAGAAGAAAAAATAAAGAAAAAAAAATCACTTATATTTAATTTTGAAAAAAGTTGTGATTATTTCTGTTTTTTAAAAAAAAAAAAAATTTCATCCTGTCAGAAAAAGCCTTATTCAGAGGGTGAATTACCAACACTAAAGTGGATTAGGGTGGATTTCCAATGCTAAACTTGAAACAGAAATGTATTTTTAAACCTTCAGAATGTAGTCCCTGTATTAAGCCCCTATGTATACAGTGGTTTTGTACAAAACTTATCAAGTCAGAGTATCACTGAAGACTGAAATAAAACTTCCCAGTGGCCTGCACAGTTGTAGATATTCTGAAAAAAAAAGGTGAAGGCAGAAGGAGGCCCAGAGAGCAGAACTCATCTATACAAAGCTGTCTTTGATGATAAGCAAACATCTAGCTTGTTGGGGCATGTTAAAGATATGGATAAATTCTAGGTCACTGCTCTAGGGAGATCAAAAATTGAGCCTTACCCTATGAAAGCACACAGTATCATTCAAGCTCTGTTAGACTTGAATTTGATTCCTGTCAGTTTACCTTTTACTCTTATAAGCTTCTTTGATGTACATGACAATCCATCAGGCAATGGGTGCTTTAGAAGCTAGAAATCCCTTCTTTGAAGCTCCAAGTGAAATAAATCAGCTGTCAAGCTTCATGAACTCTGTTTTTTTCCTAAATAGTTTTAAATGCCTGTTTTATGTCCAAACAATAAAATGTCTTTGCTACATTTATGTTGCAAGTAAAAGGAAAGTTGTCCTTGTCTTCAGTCACCTCATTTTAAATGCAAAACCTTATGTCTTTAAAAAAGTTATTGACCAAATCTAAGACATACAACTGAGATACTGTAGATTTAGTTAAATGCATAAAATATGTACAAGATAACTTTAACAGCCAAGAAATAATATGTAGAATGCCAAAGAGAACATACACACCATTCATTTTTTGTCTATTTCCAAGCTTGAAGCACCTGAAGAATGTATGAAGTTTTGTATCTGAGTAGAAGTAGCTCAGTGGTTTCACTTCCCTAATTTTATACACCAATAAAATTAAATCTCCCCTCCTGCCTCCCTGCCAAAGATTAGTGGAATACAGTGACCAAATACCAACCATCTTTGATGACAGTCTCCTAACTATCACAGTGTTGTAGGGTGAGGATGAGACAAACCTTGCCAGTGAAAGCAAGCAGCTCAGACCTTTTATCCAATGACTAGTAACTCAGTCAGGAAAAGGGAAATATTGGAGGGAGAAGAGACTTGAAAATAGGTTATAATAAGAGATACGCTTGGAAAAGCCTAACTCTGAGCCTCCTCTCTGCATTATATAGATCTTTTTTTAAAAATACTGAAAAATCCTACATTCCGTCTTACACTGCCAAATTATTTCTTTTTAGAAGTTCTTTAACAACCGTCTTCCTTCCTCTCAGATGTTTTGGGAAAGACATGGGGGCCACGTGGTATGTAAGACTCATGACACTGAATTTAGCCATTCCAAAAATGGCTTATAATCCCAGTCTCTCACCAACCGGAGCTAGAGCACTCCATCTGATACACTACTGCCCAAAAGCATCACTGCAACCACAGCAATGCCTTGCAGTAAAGAGTGGCTTAGTTTCTGAATCCCGGAAATGTTTCCAGGATTAGTCTGTTGAGGGAAGAATATTTTGATGATATTAAAGAGGCTTACATTCAAGACAAGCTGAGCTGTTCAGTTCTGCAAACACAGAAGTTCTGGGTGTGTGTAGAGGTAGAATGTTAAGCAGCTAGTAAATTTTACTGGCAGAAGTTCAGACAACTATATACTTAGGAATGCACAAGTTGTAAAGAACATATTCCTGGGTTTAGACCCTTAAATACTTCCTGTGTCTTACTAGGCACTTAAGTGCTTTTTGCAGACCTATGTTATTTCATAGGAAACTTGTGTACTTTAGTATCCCAACGAAAACTGTCTGCGAATTAAAAATAGCAGCAGAATTTAGAAGATTCACAGTTGACTCAGTTGACAAAGTACTGCTGAATACTTTTTCTCTACAATGATCCAAGCTCTGTCATGAAGACATCATTTTTTGACAGGTATTTTTAAAGTCTTGCATGATTTCTACTTACTGAAATTTTTCTATTTTTGTTACATGCTTCATTAAAAAACAAAAACAAAAAACTGTGAACTGCCCCACTATATTTGTGATATCACATTAAATATATAAGAAACATTATAAAATGTCACTGGAACCAGAGCACAGAACATACTTACCAATATTAATTTCATCATCAGTTTCAGCATCTCCAATACACTCGAACTGGAAATCTTGTAAAGACTGTGAAAATTTTTGCACTGCCATGGATAAATCTAAAATTCAAGAAAGAGGAAAAAGAAAAAGAAAATCAGAATTGCTCCACTACAACTTTACTGAAGCAAGGTTTCATGCATTTCTGCATGAAACATTTTTTGTGTTTACAAAGTTTCCTTTCTAGTATCTTTTTTGGACAGTAGCTTCATTCAAAAAACCCCATCACCATTTCAAAATCAGAGTACCTGAGATATCCCTGAAACTTATGAAACACACTGATACCAGTTTTCAAACATTTAATATAGGTATTATGTTGACAACTGAAGAACTGTTACACTTCTTGAAAAATAAGAAATTAGCATAAGAAATAAATGTTTAGTGGCAAATTCCATATGTAAACAGACCACTGTTGTTTAAAATATTGCAAGATTAGTTTGAGGATTAAAATAAAGTTCATGACAGCTTCTTTCATAAACATCATCAAAAGAATTAAATTATAAACCACTCTAATACAGTAAAACATTATATAGTGTTATATAAAAGCTTCGTTAAAAAGAAGCTGAAGGGAAAAAACAAGCCACAGGTGCTTGCTAATCAGCTAGGTTGTCCACAGATTATGAGCACTATTTTCACAGAATTACACAGAGTGGACCTTCGAACCAAAGAAATGTCAAAGCAATCCAAACTTCATAGCATAAAATTTCAATAGAATTGTACACACTCCAACAACAACAAAAAAATAAAATTGTAAATGCAGAATATCGATGTAACCACATAAATCTGTTATTTCCTTTTTTAGGTATACTAATGGCAAAAGCAGAGATGAATGTGATAAGGAATGAACTTGGTCAAGAATTAAAAATGCTACCAGTCCAGATGAGCCCAGACAACCAGAAACAATTCTTTAAGTCCTAGAGAACATATCTATGGCATTTATTTTGAAGCTAGGACAATAAGCAATTAAGATTCTGCTATTTGCTAAATATGATCAAATGACATGGTAAGGATAAATTATGAACAAAAGCCAAGTCACAAATTCTGTTTCAAAAGCATCACGTATGTGTCTCCATCCTTGGGGATGTTCAAAAGCTGTCTGGACATGGTCCTGGGCAACTGGCTTTAGGTGGCCCTGCTTGAGCAGGGGAGTCGGACCAGATGACCTTCAGAGGTCCCTTCCAACCTCAGACATTTTGTGATTCTGTGATTTCCATAACCCTCTGTTATTTTATAGCTATAAATACTCATCTCCTCAATGCTGGACACAAAATTAGAAAGCTAACTTTTTTCCTGGCAGAAATAAAACCTAGCATATAAGTACACAAATTGGCCTAATGTCCTAAATCAAGACACACACACACAAAAGTGTCATTTAGATTTTAACAATCCCCAACAGTAAGAACCATTCCACTATCCTAAAGGGTTAAAAATCTTTCAAACACCTCCAAATAAGAATCCACACAGTAAGATAACTTTTTTTTTTTTTTAATTAAAGGTAACCACTATTAAGCAGCAGAATCCCTACTAGAGTTTTGCCCTACCCCTGTATTTACTCAGTGCCTGCTGCTTTCATATTTTTACATACAGCTATAGAGTACAACAGTCCAACAAGACAACAAGCAGTCTTCAGACAACACAGATATGAACAGAATTTTTCTTGTATTAGTAAGGAATTCTGTATGTTTATCTGATAAATAACAAGAGTGTATAGAATTGGGTAAACATATTCTGTATCTTTTTCATTAAAAGCACAGCAAACAGGAAAGAATGCTCCCCAGAATTATTGCATCCTTACTGAACATTTCCTGCTGTGCTGTACATGAAGATTATATTATTAAATGTATTAGCAAATTAGATGGTAAACACAAAGTGTTTCCTACAGTTTGTATAGATGAAAACAAAACAGACTTTTATAAGCTTAAGCACTCAATTTTATGCAAATACAGCATCTTTTATATCTATGTAACTGATCAACAGCTGTTGGAGATACCTAAACTTGAGTTTGTTCACAGGAAAATGCTTTGAGTTTAAAGGGAAGAAACAGTTTTATTGCTGGCTATTCCACAAAGTTACTACACTTAGTTCTACGCCCTTCTATAAAATCGCTTCATACCAAATGATGTCAAAAGGAATAATATGGCCTTAAGGTGACTGAATGAAAAAGATTCTATATTGCAAGAACACCAAAATGTAAAAATTAACCAGCACTATTAGGAATGCAGATTTATTTCTTCTGGACAATCCAATAGCTGCCCACGATGACCAGCATCTCTGCGAACATGAAAGGAAATGAGGGAGCATGGATTCTCCCCTATCACTCTTCCACATGTGCAGGGCTCAGTGAAACAAATGTCAAGGGAAGGGAAAATGAATGATATAAATATCCAAGGTGGAGTCTCCATTTTATATCCTGGTTGAGTCATACACAGATGCCAATCTCTCTTTTACTATGTCAGCAAATCAGTGTTAATGCTTATAGGTTTTGAACCATAAGGAGGTATGTTTAACCTAACTCGGAAATAGTGGGTATGAAGAATGTAGTAAGAATTACAGAGCTCATTAGGTAACTTGATAAAATCATCTAGAATTATACCATTTGGAGATTTCTGCCTTTATATAAGGCAGAACCTTTATATAGGCTGAAAGTATTAGAAGATAACATAAGGTTAAAGCTCTTCAGTATAGCAACAAATAAAATTAAGTTCCAAGGTCAGATGTTTCCTGTGAGATTAATTATGTGGTGCAGTTACTTATATTTAACAATTTCTTTCTTAGGAACATCATCACTACTTGTTTACAAAATTCACCAAGTCACAGTGTCCTGGGTTTGAGTGAGTGGTGAGGTTTTTTGGTAGCAGGGGAGGGGACTACAGAGGTGGCCCCCTATGAGAAGCTTCCTGAAGCTCCCCCAGCTCCAAGTCAGCTCCACCTCTGCACCAAAACTGAGCCAATTGGCTGCACCTCTGCAATAACATATTTAAGAAGGGATGTGGTAAGGAAGAGTCGGACTTGTGAGTAGGAGTTGCTGCAGCTGCGCGAGCACCAAGGTCAGTGGAGAAACGGAGGAAGAAAGGCGGGGAGAGGTGTGCTGGAGCAGAGACCCCCCCCTGTATCCTGTGGTGAGACGGCAGGGCGGCCCCCCCCGCCACCCATGAAGATCTATGGTGGAGCAGACACTGATTTATGGCCTGTGTTTTCACATGGATGATCAAGGTGCTGTGCCTGAAGACGGCTGGGATCTTGTGGGAAAAAGTAGCCCCGCTGTTGTAGCTTGGCCCTGGGAAGATTGCAGCATGTGAGGGTGTCCCACGCCGAAGCAGCTCGGGAAGGGCTGCGGCCCGTGGGATGGACTCACATCGAAGAAAGTTTGTGGAGGACTGTCTCCTGTGAGAGGGGGACCATGATGGGGCAGGGGGAAGAAGTTCCAGAAGCTCTCCCCCCCCAAAGATGGAAGAAGCAGCAGCACTGATTGCACCCCCCCATTCCCTGCCCCTGCACCGCTGTGGGGAGGAGGTAGAGATATCGGGAGCAGAGCTGAGCCTGGGAAGAAGGGAGGGGCGGGGGAAGGCGTTTTCAAGAGGTGGCAATGTTTCTCACTGTCCTACTCTGTTATGTGTTGTTGTTAGTGTCTGTAGTAAATCTATGGTTTTTTCTTCCCCTAATGAGTCTGTCTTTTGCCCATGACCATAATGGGTGATTTGCCCCTCCCAGTCCTATCTTGAGTCCCAAGCCTGGCTCATTGGTCCCTTCTCATCACTGGAGGAGAAGGAAGGAATGAGCGGCTGCGTGGTGTTGGGCTGCTGACCAAGCTCAAACCACAACACACAGGAAGGACCAGCTGTCTAATAAGCAGGCCTCCTTTAAGAGATAGGAAGATTCAAAACAGAATTAAATCAGGTTTAAGAGCAACTGCCTCTTCAGTCAATAAGAGACAAATTATTTCACTACCATCTTACCTTGTCTGGACAAAAAATGAAAAGAGCAGAGAGGTAGAGCAGACAAGACTTCATTTATCACTGTATATCCCAGAGTCTTAATGTCACTGAGAGCCCTCAATACAACTTGCTCCTTCCAGACATAGAAAGGTAAATCACCACACCAAACAAATCACCTTTTTATCATTTGCAAGCTACGTGGCATTACAGGAGTTGCTCTTATGCAGCTTCTAACATGTGTATCTTTATAGTCATGTCCTCCTTTTCATGGAGTCCACATGAACTAGGGTATTTCACTTAGCCCGGGACAGAAATTCTCTTTTAAACAGAGTCAACTGAGCTTCTAAGTTACTACAAAAACCTTATTAGCTTTATTGACTGACAATACAAGTTTATCATCCAGGGAAGGACAGCTGCTCAAAAGTCTTAATACCATAAATGTTGTTGCCTCTGCTTTTCTATAGGCACTCAAACACAGTAATCTCTCTGGGTGCCAGTGAAAGAGTGAAAACACACCCTGTTAGCCCTCAGTTTCCAGAGGGGTGAATCTCTAACCAGCAATTCTGTTTCTGGCAGTACTCACTTGCACCTTTTGTTCCCTGTTTTCCCCAATTCCAAAGGAGGATTCAATTCAGTTCTGCAGTGAGGCATATAGTCAAGAGTAGCCATCTACAGGCTACTGCCATTCAGTGGAAGGAGAAAACTGAGTTGCCTGTTTTAGTAAGGGTTGAAGCTAATCAACTGGCCAGCAAGATTTTTTTTTTGTGGAGCTCTGACAGAGGAAGTACTAAAATAAGAGTACTACAATGTGATCGGAAACGATAAAAGGATAAGTGCAGCTTAACCACAATAAAGTAATATAACACCAGCATTAAATATGGATACATATAATACCAAACATCAGTATCATAGTACTAATGAAAGGATAATAAAAGTCATCATCCACTCAGGAAAATCACAGAGGAATCAGGAAACACACTATTCTATTGTACTTATTCCTGTAATTTTATATTTTTGATCGATCTGCTTAAAACATATTTATCCAATAAAAATATAGAAAAAACCTCATTTTCCTGGAAGTCATGTTTGTTTAAGATTCATTTTGTTTCAAATTGCCAAAAAGGAGG